CATCTATACTTGGAGTTAGAGAGCACATTTTTACTGGCAGGTTGATTACTTCCAACAATTGAGATTGATGGCTTTATTCTTTGCATAATCTCACACTTATTTTGTCTTCGACAATGTAGTGTATCTTCCCTTGCATGGTTCATGTCAAATCAGGAGCACAGTTTTGTGACTATTGGGCAGCGTCTCCTTGCAAACCCTCTGAAGTGAGATCTTCTCTTTTTTGACTACTCTGTATTCCACAACAGTAAATGCATAGTGAAATTATATTTCATTTATTGCATATAATGCTATGAATACCACAATCCATGAAGCACGGCTCTCCAAGTCCTAGTAGGATTAGAATACAAGTCACCTATTTCAACACATATTGTGTACTCTTTCTGCAGTTGCAGTAGTACCTAGGAATTCTCAGAATCATAAGTTCATGACATTGGATTTATCTTTTTTTCCTGGAATGTATCTAAAGTTATTAATTTGCTTTATGATAGGGTCCGGTTCCACTATGGGCATCCTGATGTATTTGATAGGCTTTTCCATCTGACAAGGGGTGGTGTCAGTAAGGCATCAAAGAGTATCAATTTAAGTGAAGACATTTTTGCAGGTTTGACTCATTCCATAATATGCCTCTGATTAAGTTCTCCATGACATTTAAGAAATGATTTTATATTTTAATTTCTGCTATGCCAATGGAGTATGTTTTTACTTTCCCAAATAAGTAATGTACTCATGAACTTAAACAAACATGTGCAACAGACAACATATCATGAGATAGTAATGAGTACTGCAAAGTAATATTCCTATTGTCTTCACTATTTTAGGCTATAACTCAACTCTTCGTGGAGGCAATGTAACACACCATGAATATGTGCAAGTTGGTAAGGGAAGAGACGTCGGACTAAATCAGATCTCTAAGTTTGAGGCTAAAGTAGCAAATGGAAATGGTGAACAGACTCTTAGTCGTGATATCTACCGTCTTGGGCACCGCTTTGATTTTTTCAGGATGCTTTCATGCTACTTCACAACCGTGGGGTTTTATTTCAGTACACTGGTATGATCAATTTGTGTTGATCTTAAAAATATATTTCAGTATGATTCAGTATGTTTCTAACACATTTTACTCTTTCCCTCAGTTGACGGTTGTCACAGTTTATGTATTTCTGTATGGGCGCCTTTATCTTGCTCTCAGTGGACTTGAAGAGGGGCTATCGCAGGGAAGATTGTTTCATAATCATCCCCTTCAAGTTGCTCTGGCCTCACAATCTCTTGTTCAGCTTGGTTTTCTGATGGCTCTTCCAATGATGATGGAAATTGGTCTTGAAAGAGGATTTGGTCAGGCACTAAGTGATCTAATCATGATGAATTTGCAATTGGCTACTGTGTTTTTCACATTTTCCCTTGGCACTAAGACTCACTACTATGGAAGAATGTTGCTTCATGGAGGTGCTCAGTACAGAGGTACTGGTAGGGGATTTGTCGTCTTTCATGCTAAGTTTGCAGAGAATTATAGACTCTACTCTCGCAGCCACTTTGTTAAAGGGATTGAGCTGATGATTCTGCTCATTGTATACCAACTATTTGGTCAATCTTATCGCTCAGCCATTGCCTATATTTTTATTACCTTCTCTATGTGGTTCCTGGTATTGACATGGCTATTTGCACCCTTTCTATTCAACCCCTCTGGATTTGAGTGGGCAAAAATTGTTGATGATTGGTCTGATTGGAATAAGTGGATCAGCAATCGTGGTGGGATTGGTGTATCACCAGACAAGAGCTGGGAATCTTGGTGGGAAGTGGAGCAGGATCATCTAAAATATTCAGGAACAATAGGACGCTTTGTTGAGATAATCTTGGCCGTGCGTTTTTTCATATACCAGTATGGCCTTGTTTACCACTTACATATCACACATGACAAAAGCATCTTGGTAAGCTTTTCAGGTTGATTATATTAAAAAAGCTATACTTCGATTGTATGATTAGTTTTATGGATCATTTATATGTTTACAATGCTATTTATTGTAGGTATATTTAATTTCTTGGCTCGTAATTGTGGCAGTTCTGCTCGTTATGAAGGTAAATGTGAACAGAATATGGATCTTACAGTAATAATAGTACAATGTTCTTAGCACTGCATCTCTGTCTGCTATTAACATTGTCATATTTCTAGTTTCTTTCCTAAGCTGCCTATATTCTTTGCAGACAGTGTCGGTGGGAAGGCGGACATTCAGTGCTGATCTCCAGCTATTCTTCCGTCTGATCAAGTTTTTGATATTTGTTGCTCTCACTGCTATTTTGATTGTTTTGATAGTATTTCTTCATATGACCTTCCGCGATATATTTGTGTGCTTTCTAGCATTCTTGCCCACAGGATGGGGGATACTACTGGTACATCATTCTCTTGCTTTTCTACATTTCGTTTACTTATTCTTTATAAATTCATAATACTAATATGCTTGCTGCTGTCTTATTGTGCATGATTTGATTCTTCAGATTGCACAAGCTTGCAAGCCTCTTGCTCGACATGTAGGATTATGGGGATCTGTGCGTGCCCTTGCACGGGCCTATGAGATAATTATGGGGGTGCTTCTCTTTACTCCAATTACTATATTGGCATGGTTTCCCTTTGTGTCTGAGTTCCAGACGCGTATGCTGTTTAATCAAGCCTTCAGTAGAGGACTGCAAATTTCTCGAATTCTTGGTGGTCAAAAGAAGGAACGGTCCGCTCGTAACAAAGATTGATTTAGTCTTCTTTCTTGTGTATTTCTTCAACATGCACTTGTAAATATTTGGCACGGCCTCACGGGGTATAGTGTATTTTTGTGACTACTATATGTAAATATCAGATAAAGGTGTCATGTATCCCCCATCTTGCTCTTCGAAGTCCCCCGCTACATCTGTACCTTGCCGTTTGTTACTTTTCCATGTTGCCATGACATTGTATATTTTCAGATGGGGCTCGTTCGAGTTTTTTTTCTTTCTTGGCAGTAAGTGGCTCATACTTCTGTGCTTTTTTTTTTTTTTTGTATTTTCAGTCTGTTCATAATCAGTGTTTTGTAATAAAGAACCATATCTATAGGTGTCACCACCGGGCCCTGCTAGACGGCACTCGTGCACCAGGATGTTGTTGCTTGTGAGCGCCCGACAGTAGTGCCGTACGCCAGCGCGTGATGTGAAATTGAAAGGGCGTGGCTAGATCGAATCGAGCGAGGGAAAGTGGGGAAGCAGAGACAGGAGGGGTGGGATTAATATGGAAAGAGCGAAGTGGTGAAGGCGACGGTTGATTCGCTGTGGCTCTCAGGGACGCGACACGGAGTTCTTCTGCCCATCTGCTGGCTGGTGGCGCGAACCTGCGATGGTTGCTCAAACTGAAGCACATGTGGTTAACCAGCCTGTTCGGCTAGCGCTGATATACGATCGTGGATTATTACTGCTGGCTGATTTGGTGTGAGAGGAAAATACTGTAAAATATGATTTGATATGATTAATATATCTTAGAAAAATTATATCTTTTTTTTTACGGAATTAAATGAAATAATTTTTATATGAAAATTATAGATCTCGACGAGATCTACAACTTTCTAGTTTTGAGTTTTTTCATTTGAAGTTGTTAAGATGCTCAAAAAATTAATGACATATTTAGAATTAAGGGTATTTTTGTCTTTTACACATGCAATTTGACGGCGTTAGAGCGTCAAAACCGCTGGCGGCGATGGCATGGAGGCAAAAAAAGTTAGAATAACGTGAACAATGAAACCTGAAGCCGCAGACACAGGTAAGGTGCGATCATGAGCAGCGTGCGAGCCGGGCTGAGAGACGCCCAGGTGCATCAAACACGCGCGCTGCAGGTGAGGGCGCAGCCGGGCCGTCGGGCCAGCGTTCCAAACACGCCCCAGGTGATCACCCAAGGAGCAGGCCGGCGTGCACACCCTCTCCCGCGCTTTGGGCCTCGCCCTGCACCCCCTCGCCCTCCGGTCTCTGTTCTGTTTCCCAACCAGGCCAACGTACAGGTAACAGGTGGGCATTTCATTTGCCGACCGCCCTGGTCGGTGTTCCAAAGCGCTCGCTGCGTTCCGGCTGTGCTGTGCGTGCTTTCCTTCCTCCACTGGTGCCCATCTCGTAGCAGGCGCTGTTGCCGCCGGCGGTGTGGAGCCTGGAGAAGGAGAAGACGGCCTCTGTGAAGTCCGGCCAGGTTTGAGTAACAACGCCAGCAAATGAACGTCCGTAGCACGTTGTCCAAGGGCAAAACTCACGTGCTCACCTCCGTCCAATTTATAACTCAGTGCAGCGCAATTACTCAAATCCACCTTCACTCCACTCGGGACCAGCAAAGTTTTCAGATCTGGTTCAGTAAATAAAACCAAAAAAAAAACCTTAGCTTCCAGATCTGTTCTTATCGTTTGACTTCTTTCACTAGCGGAAGAATCTTTTGCCTCAAACAAGAATGGATCTCAGGATCTGAGAGGACGCCGGTGTGCGAAATGGAATGGCGCAGCTGCTCTGCAAGACCAAGACTGCAGCAACCGGAGAGAATATCGTGTTCTGAAACTGCCGCCTTGCTTAGATGTTATCCAAATTTCCAAGTTTTTTCATTCTCTCTCCTCATCATATTAAATTTTAGCCACTTGCATGGAGTATTAAATGTAGGTAAAAAAAAACTAATTACACAGTTTAGTTGGAAATCATGAGATAAATCTTTTGCGCTAGTTGATCCACGATTAGACAATATTTACCAAATAAGACGAAGTTTTTTTTTTTGAACGAGGCCTACCATGAAAAAGGGGAAAATGTACATGTTTTTTTTTTGTGCTCAAATTACATGTGGAAATGGCAATGAACCAATAAATTCAATCAACCAACGGCCGGAACAGGGCGGTGGAGAGAGATCACAGGGAAACGGATATCTGCTTGGATCGGAGGAGCTGCCAAGCAACAGTGGATGGACGTGCTGCCAGCCCAGCCGGAGCTAGCCAAAATGTTCTCTCTTCAATTGCATTGCATCACAATCACAAGAGGGACGAGAGCACGACGGAACACACGGCCGCCGCGGCGAGTGCGGCGATCGGGCGCGACGCGACGGCTGAAGACGCCGACGGCTTCTTGGACTTGTGGTCCGCGTGGTCCGCGGCCACCGACGGTGCATCCGCCGCGGCCGGGGACCCCTGTGGCGCCTCCGCGGGCGCCGGCGCCGGTGCTGCCTCCGGGGCGCCGACGTAGAGCTCCGGCGGCACCAGGAGGCTGTCCATGGTGAGCAGGCAGAACGGGACGCTGTCGACGACGGTGGACGCGACGCGGGACCTGGTCTTGCCGGTGTCGAGCGAGACGTCGTCGCCCTTGGCGACCACCGTGACGTCGTCCTTGGGGGCCAGCGTGCGGAGCGGGCCCTTGACGGACTTGAGCGACGTCTTGGTGTTGTAGGAAGGCAGGGCGTGGAGCTGGAGGAGCTTGGTGAGGTTGGCTTTGGACATGGTCTTGACGTCGGGCACGTCCTTGGCGCTGAACGCGTCGTCGTTGACGGCGAACAGGGTGAGGCCCTTGTCCATGGCGTCCTCGTACGACTTGAGCACGCCCGTGGAGGCGGCCAGCGACGCGAAGACCTTGCAGCCGGCGCGCTCCAGGAGGCGGGTGAGGTTGGCGGTGGAAGGGACGTCGAAGAGGCCGTCGAACTCGATGGGCGCCGTGACCTCGAGGATGGCGAACTTGAACGGGTGCGTCTCCACCTCCTTGGTGACGGTGCAGATCCTGGCGCCCGCCGTGGCGGCGGAGAAGCCGTAGTTCTTGTCCTCCTGGTCCACCACCTTGACGTTGCCCGTGGTCTCCGCGGCGTCGCCCGTGGCCTGGTACAGCGTGGCGGCGCTCTCGTCGCCGTACTTCTTCACCTTCTTGCGGTCGTAGTAGTCGAGCACCGAGTGGAGGCGCAGCGCGTTCTTGATGGCGGGGAGCGAGTCCCCAGCGTCCTTGGCCAGCGTCGTCATGGCGTCGTTGGAGAGCACCAGGATGGTCATCGACGTCGACTGCCGCGAGTTGATCTCGTCGCACACCTTCGTCTCCGACAGGTACTGGTTGTACAGCTTGTACTCCTTGTACCCCTGGAGGATGGCCGTGATGTTGCGCCCGTGCACCGGCAGCACTAGGAGGCAGGCCACCAGCGCCGCCGCCGCCACGAGCCGCTGCGTCGCCATGGCTCTCTCTCTCACACTCACACACCCCTGATAGCAAGCAAGCGAAGACGAGAGCTAGTGACGAGCAGAGCTGCTAGCCTGTCACATACCACTGGCTATTGGCTAATTAACTATGGCTTGGTTTGCGACGGCAGCGTTTGAGGCTGCCATCCGGGGTCCCGTTCACCATTTGGTCGTCGTCGTGGGTTTTTTTTCCGCTTGTGCGCATTCGAGCTGTAGCATCTATCGCCCCGAGGCCCCCAAAGCTTTTCTGCCATTTTTATATGGCCTGGCCTGCCTCCATTCATTCATCCGCTAGAGCACACGTGATTTCACTCTTTGCCGGCCGGCCCCTGATCCCTTTTCATTGCTCTGTTTGCTTCTCGGTTCCTGGATCTGCAAGTGCAAGCGTGACTGAGAAACGAACATTGTGTCTGCTTCCAGTTGTCCATTTGGGCGAGATGAGTGCATTGCAGATCGCACATCCCTGGCGACGGGCCACCACGTCAAAAGGCGACGCGCCGACGGATAAGGTGAGGGGGGCATTTCGAAGATTCTGCAAAGCATTTCAGAGGAAACCAAAGGAGGAGACAGTCCATAGTCCTGGGCCCTCGTCGGCCGGCTCTGGCTATTTTGGCGCTAATCTTCTCTTCGCTTGATCGTTTCTGTGGTTTATAAGTCGGTGATGCTGTTTTGTTGTGAGAGAAAAATATTGTATCATGACTGATAAACATGGTTGATACGATCATAAACCGGTGATATAATTGTTAGAGACCGTGGACCGCACTGGAAGGCGTGTGCGGTTCTGTGGGGTGCGGGGCGTTCCTTTGCCGCATTCAGCGATGACCGACACCCAGACGTTGGTGGTGGCCGTTGGATCCGTATCCGAGGGACAGAAACTGGTGTCCTTCTGGAGCGGGGGTTAGAGAATTCGTTCCGTGAGGCCCGTGATATTCAACCTACGTCGCCGTCATGAATGGATGCTCCAACGGCAAGAGGCTGTCGTGGGCGCAACAGGAGGTCGGTGACGAGTCAGTCATCAACTTATCTTACTACTCTCTAAGGTTCCGGTTCCGTTAGCTTCGCTGAAAAAACAAGTCGAAACACTGTTTCGGCTGATTTGTTGAGAGAGAAAAACACTGTTCCGGCTAAAAAAAAAAGCTAAAAAAGACAGATTATAAGAGAAGCGAACATGGCCTAAGTCCCGAAATGACATGTTATCAATATCATCTTAAAGACACTCAGAATACAAATTTTTATATCTTAAACTTGTTTCTTTCGGGAAAAAAATATCTTAAACTTGTTTCTTTTGAGGAATGAAAAAAATATCTTAAACTTGTAGAGTGACTATTAATCGAGGTTTGTAAAATCTAATTTTTCTCCATACCAAATACGTTTATTATCATCTTAGGACTAAGAAGTGTTATTTACTAATTGAAGATCTAATTGAAGACCTAAAAGAGGCTTCACATGACTCATTAATCCAAATTAGCTTTTGGTATTTAGGAGCTTTTAGCTTTTGAAAGCCCCAAAATCAAGCTACGTAATTGAAGTTGTCAGAAGTTTCATCTATGTTTCATTATATTCTACATTTTAAAAACAAAGTCACTCACAATGGAGATACAAATCCGATTACAACTCCACCGTCAATTCGCTACCAATTCAATGCTGGCAACCCCCACGATAACTACAGCAATGTGACACCTGACTTTTGCCTTCCTCTCGGAACTTAGCTTATACTACTTTCGTGTTTTGATTAAAAACAGGAATGATTGGAAATAGTGTCATAATATAGAAAATAATATTGGTTGGTATGGGATTTTTCCGTACCGCTTTCACCACTACACACGCCGACCTACTCGGCGCCGGTCTTGGGCCCAAGCATATGAATTCCAATCCGGTACTGGCTGAAATGACCGGTATATCTCATACCGGTGGCTAGACCAGCATCGAAATGCCTCCATCCCATATGGGCGAATATCAATCATTCTGGTCTATATCGGTATCGTTAAAACTCAAATAACGTCTTATGTGATGTACAATATTATGAACTTTTTTAATCATATACTAACGTTATCTAACTCTATATACTTTCACATTGATTGTGCCTAAATTTATATGTACAGAAATCATAAATAATCTATTTTGGGTACCTATATGTATATATTTTTATTATTTAATTAAGGTCTAGAACGATACACCGGGATAAGCTGATATCGGAAATTTAATGATCCATATCTATGCACTTTGCTTGATCTCAGTTTAGCATGCTTTAAACTCTCTGTAACTAACTTTTCTCCTTTATTTAAGGTGGAAGCCACTCGCAATTTATTTGTAGCGCTCTTCCTTGCAAGCATTTGAATGATCTGTATTGATGCACTTTGCTTGATCTCAATTTAGCATGCTTTAAAATTGAATATGGAAAGCTGAACTCTATAACTAACTTCTCTCCTTTATTTAAGGTGGAAGCCATTCGCAATTTATTTGCAGCACTCTTCCTAGCAAGTGTTGGAATGCTCATACGTGTTTAGTTCTTGTGGAATCATGTTGACGTGGATTATTACTTGTGGCTGGTTTGGTGTATATTCTGGGCGGAAATTTACGATCGTTTTGATAAATCGAATGAAGCGAGCGTGATATTACTTGCAGCTGTTATACTGGTTATAATAGTAAAGAATATTGTCGTAACTATTGTCGTAAAGGCATTTGGATACATCATAACAGATTTGTTGTAAGTATCTTGTGTTGGTGGTTCTCCATCAGTTTTTCACCAATCTTGAAATGTATTCTCACACTTCTTATTTGATGAAGGTTGGGCTGTCCTTAGCTCAGATAGGAGAGTTTGCTTTTGTGCTTTTGAGCCGTGTCCCCACCTGGCGCAGCACCGTACGCGCGCCGCTACATCATCTACGTACGTGCGGGTACGTACCAGGAGGTAGTGAAGGTCAAAAAAGGAGCAACATTACCCTTGTGACAGCATGGCGCATACCGTCATAACACGGAACCGCTCCAAGCACACAGGCCATGACACGTCTAGTTCTGTGTAGAGACCTAGAGGCCATGACACGCTCCAAGCACCGTAATAAATATAGTTCGGCGTAGAGACATAGGAGGCCATGACACGCTCCAAGCACCGTCATAAATATAGTTCGGCGTATAGGAGAAGCCAAGGGGGGCTGGTAGGGGCCAATGCCCCCCTCCCTAACATCAGAACAAAAACTTTTTACTTAGTATATAATTTAATGATCTATATTTATATTAAAAGATATGATAAAAAGTTCTTGCCATATATATTTTTGTATGCCTTCTGGACAATACAATCACACATAATGCAATTAAAATAGAATATTTTGAATTTATGAATTTTTTCCTACCATATTGTGACACATTTAATAAAATTTTAGGTTTTACTAATAAATGTGTACTTACATTTCATCATATTTTATATTTTAGGAATAACAATCAAGGTTCTAAGTGCAATGAAAGCACCTTGATAAATCTCATATCGTATATATCAAAAAAATTTAACCGTCTCCTTGTATAATTCCTGGCTCTGCCACTGGTCTGAATGGAATTTAGAAGGATGCTTGGGACGACTACACTGCAACCCGTTCAGTTCCCATGTACTTATTGTTAGGCTTGGTCATCTTTTTGCTTCTAGGCGCTGCGGCCAAACAGAGCTTCTTGTGAACGACACTCGGTCTGCTGACATGTAATGGTGGTTTTCTGATTATCAATACCATGGTTCAATTCAGCACTCAAGCCAACAACTATTCACGAGGGACTGATGAGTGAGTAGCAGAAGACGTGGAGGGAGAAGAGGCTGCCCCGTTCGCTTGAACTACTACAATAGTATTTTTCAGCGAACAAACAGTATTTTCTTCTCACAACGTTCAGAACATGTTCAGAATACAAAGCCAGAAATCCAAAATGTCATGCAGCCGCTGCACGGCCACGACGGTGCCATCATCGACCATGGCGTGGTGCATGCGCAGCCGCGCCCTTGTTGTAAGAGCAGAGCGAGATGCCATGACAGATTAGAACCATTCACTAGTACACCGGTGCTTTCTTTTGACGTCACCCTTTTTTTCACCGGCGGTTCGGAAAGATGAGGCATCGTTAGAAATAAAACTGCGGGTCTAGATCATGATCCGCCAGTGTAAATTCATTTTTACTGACTGTTTTCTTAAGTTTACCATAAGTAAAAATACATAATTTTTACTGACGGTAACCTTAAGAAAACAGCCAATAAAAATGTATTTATAGTGGCGGTTTTCATAACCTAGCGTCACTACAAATAGACGCCGAATATTAAAAATTAAGTATTAAAATTTAATTTTTTCAAACGACCTTAGATGGAGAAATGACCAAAATAAAAGTTGTAGATTTCAAAAAATTATAGAACTTTATTGTTTACAATATTTTCATTTAAAATTATTTGATGTTTCCAAATGCTATTTAAAATTTAATTTATAAATTATTGAAGAACTCTGATCTCTACTTTTTAATCTCTGCCTAAAACTTGTAACTAGTCTTTCTTTCTCATACTATCTTTAAATTACTTGATTTTTTTTTCTAAATTTTGTAAAATCATGCTCTAAAAATTTATTGTGTTGTTACATCTAATATTTTGGTCATTTTTTCTTGTGAACATTTTAAAATTTGAGTTTCAAAAATAACAACTTCAGACAACATTTTGAAACATCAAATGATTTCAGCTGAAGAAGTCATGAACATAAAAGTTGTAGAACTCATCAAGATCTATAATTTTTATTTTAATCATTTTTTATCTGACAAAGTGGTAGTAAACATTATTCACAAATGACACATCTCTTATATAGTTTCGTAAACTATGTGTGAGATTTATGAATTTGTGAACAATTTAGACTATCATTTTGTCGGATGTAGAAATGATCAAAATAAAAGTTACAGAACTTGGTGAGTTCTACAACTTTGTTGTTGATGACTTTTGCAGCCGAAATCATTTGCTTTTCCAAATTTTGTTTGAAGTTCTTATTTTTTAAAATTTAAAATTTGAATTGTTCAAACCAAGTCACATGAAAAGATGACCAAAATAAAAGTTGTAGATCTCGATGATTCGTAGAACTTTGTAGTTGACAAAATTTTTATTTGAAATCATTTTATCACGGAAAACACGGTTGAACTTCTCAAGTTTGAAATTTGAATTTTTTAAACGATCTCGAATGGAAAAACAACCCAAACGAAAGTTGTACAACTCAAAAATTTATGCAACTTTATAGTTAACAACCTTTTCATTTAAAGTCATCTTGTCAAGGAAAACTACGTTTAAATTTCTCAAATTTGGAAGTTGAATTTTTTAAACGACATCGAATGGAGAAACAACTAAAATAAAAGTTATAGATCTCGAAAAGTTATGCAACTTTGTAGTTGACAACTTTTTGAGTTGAATTCGTTTAGGGTCTTAAACAATCAATTTAAATTCGGTTGAGGATAATATGAGGAGAAAGAAAATCTATTATAGATAGAAGTGAGTGTAAGGTGAGAGGTGTCTCTCAGTGGTTATGCAAATATTGCAAATGCAAAAAAAGGTTGTGCCATGAGTTAGAACGCTTCAAATGACGACGACCGGTACCCATTTTGAAGTACGAGCCGAACCAGACTCATTTTTGCATCTTCTCCAAGACGCAAATCATTTGGCGCTCCATCAAATCGCCGTGGCGTGACTTTCTCCCGCTCCCGAGTTTGATGGAGCATGTGGGCGTAACTAAGGTCTGGGGCCCTCGACCGAGTCCGGATCCAAAAAAATTGCTATTTTGAAAATCATTTGTCGGCTCATGACGCCGGTTTCTTAAGAAAACAGTAAAAGAATTCTTTGCTATTTTGAAAATTATTTGTAGTGATGGTTTTCTTAAGCGAAACAGGGCGGTGTAAATCATTTATAGGAAGAGGACGGGCATTTTCTAGAAGGAGGGGGAAGAGGGGGAGGCATGACGAGATTTGCGTTCTCGTTTTTGAAGTTAAAATTGGGTGGCATGATTTTCATGACCCAAAGATGTAGTATTTTTTACCACTTGCCTTAGAGGACTAATAGACGTCGGGTGAAATGGAAATAAATCATTTATAGTAGCAGTTCTCTAGAAGACGCCTTGTGAGACGCATGTAAGTAGTGAGTTCTGCTCTACCAGTGATTCTTAACATAGCAAAGGAAGAGAAATCATACGTAAGAATAGCAAATAAGACCTTAAAAAAAGAATAGCAAATAAATACAGCACATGCGTCGCAAGAATGGTTTCTAAAATCGCAAAACGCTATTTCAGTGCTTGACCTTCAGTGGGCCGTAATTGGAACAAAAAATTCTACTTCCTCTTAATAAAGATACTCTCTTTATCTAAAATAATTGTCATTCTCGTTTTCTTAGAAATAATTTTGACTAATTTTATAAAAAAATAATAATATTTATGGTACACGATTAATATCATTAGATAGATCTTTGAATCTATTTTTATAATAAATTTATTTGAAAATATAAATGTTGTACGTATTTTCTACAAATCTAGTCAAATTTACGGCATAAATAAAAAGTCAGTTAATTTAGGACGGAGGGAGTACGTGTAATCACACGGTCTCGAAAAAAAAAATATAGCACGTCAGCACAGACAGTTTACTGAGAATAATAATATGAGATTCTGACGAGTATCCTTCAAATCTAGGCCGATGCATATCCCGCCACTGAAAAACTAGGCCGACAAAACCCACCATCCACTAAGTCATCGAATCAACAATTCAATTCTCATCAGTAGCAAATCATGCATCATTCCAAACATTACGGACAAATGTTACATGGCAATGGCATTTTACCAACAAACTCAATCCGATTGTTCACAGCTAATTAAGATCCACCGAAACTGTCAGGAAGATGATGTTCTGCATTGGTCATATATATCAACAACAGCACTCCCAAAGTCTATTAAGAACAGACATTTTAACACCTTGCACGCCCTAGCACTTCTTCCTTATCGTCCCTAAGCCATCTCCTCCTAGTATTAAGAACAGAGATTTGAACAAGATGAACTGTCACTCCTGGCATCTGTGTTCTTGGGATAGGGATTCATTCAGAATAGACATACTCTCCGAAGTGCCTGGAAAAGGGCTTTGATGTACTGATAGACATAGTCTCCGAAGTGCTCGAACAATGGCGCCTTATGGCCATTGAACACAACCTGAACTGTCATTCCTAGGATGGCTGAAACATCAAGAACCCTCTTCCTCGTGAGGGCTATGAAATCGTCATCGAGATGAGTCATGTTGAACTTGGCAAGGTCAGGCTTGAAGGTGATCCTTGTCCACTTATCACCCCGTAGGCAAACCGTGACCTGGGGCTCTGACGTCTGACCCTCTTTCTCATGTTTTCAGAGAAAACCTACCAAAACACTCGAGGGTAAAATTATATATGCTCTGTATCTAAACTTGCATTGGGTGCCCTAGACAGGTAAAATTATTGAATTGCATCTGTCACTGTCACTGTCATTACCAGTTCTTCAGCCCTATGCTGCAGGCACTTTCGATTGAGCTAGTACCCTTGGGTTAGAAGGTACATCGATTTCCTGGTCCTATTCAGCCCATACGTGAATGATCATGGTCCGTTCAAGCTTGTCCAAGAACATTCCCATCTGGTCTACAGGTGGGACTACAACAACTAAAGTCCTACTCTGCTGCCCTATCAATTCACAAGACCACATTCCCATCTGGTCTCAAGTTCATCATTCAAACCCAGTTTCTACAAGCATAGCGTATACACGAGCCAATATAATCTGCTCCTTAGGGTTTGTTGGGATACACTCTTGGGTTAATTTCAATAAAGCCAAACAAGACCTTAGGAACGTCAAAATAGCCAATAGATAAGTTTCAGCATTAGTTACTAACTTAACTACCGTTTTCCATTTCATTATACCCTTATTCATTCTCATACAGATCTCCTGGACGCAGAAACATACAAAAGCTACATCAAAATCAAACGGCTATTTTGTTCTCCTTTTGCTCACTAGGAGGGCTCTCCAGTTGCCTGTTCATGTCAGGAGATGTATCCACTTCGTCCACATTTCTGAACCCAAGCTCTGACATGTCTTGCTTTGCCATCAAGTTTCTGAGGAAGATAGATTCAGAGATTTTTAGAACCACACATAAAAACAATGATTTGAAATCTTAACGGAAAATGCGGCTGCAAACAGAAAAAGAAGCAAAAAGGTGCATCTAGCTACAAGAGCTCAACTTGGTGCTAGTAGGAATTTACAAGATAAAACAACAAAAATGTTAATTCTCAAAACAAAATCATTACATGCACTAAAAGTAGGAGTTGCCCACTTGTGGAGTTGTGGTTGACGAACTGGTGCCTCACATAATTACCAAACACTGATCTCGATGTGATGTGTTCGCCCAAGGATGCAAACAACTAAGCATGCCAGGAGGCCAAACTAGGTTTCCATAGGCTACCGTGGCAATGGCACTTATTTCACCCAACAACTGAAAATGGATCATAACATGATGTAGTTTGGGGAGCATGTTCTAAATCATTTGATGCAGGAAAGAGAATTAGTTTCAACCAAAAGGCCAACTATCTAGAAACTTGGGCCATTAATTTTGTAGAATGTAGCATGCTAAGTGCAAAAGCTAAATTACCCCTAGGTTTAGAAAATATAGATAAGCCAAAAATGAGGTTATGAACCTATATCATCAAAACTTTTACAGATCTGAAATTAGAATATAGACAATAGGAATTAAGCATACTAACCTCTCCATTCGACATTCCAGATACTTCTTTGAGAACTGCCGACATTTTTCAGATTGGAACCCTGTAGATTTCAGGCAGGCAAGATAGTCTTTCTTCTCCTGTTTGAATAGTTACTATCACTACTCATATAACAAGTATACAACAGCAGTGGTAACTGATGGAATTCTTCAGCCTTACCAAGTCGCACTCATGTAAGTGATCCAATGGGAATACACCTTTTTCAGGAGGTACAGGCCTCACCCCCCTATTTCCACCAAAAGCACCACCTGTGAAAACTCACAAAGTTATTCAGATCTTCGTATAAATATAAATTACAAATAGTAAATATTAAATACGAAGCAATGTTAGGAGGTTAACCCTAGGCCGGTACACCTCCTAACCAGCACTCATTTGACAAAAAGTTCAGATAAATGCCTCCAGGAATAAAGTCGAATCTCTAACAGTTGTGTGGACAATGCTCAGCACTGCAACAGCATAATAAAAGGTCAGCGATGCCAGTAGCATGTGTAGCATTCATACAGTTCATTTGGTAAGCACTTTATAATTGGTAAGTGCAGTGTAAAAAATCTATCGGTTGAAACCTTTGCTTGGTATCAGTAAATACCATGTTTATACCTATACCTATTTAAAACAAATTACGAGATGATCAGACAACATTTTAGTGTACTACCAGAATATCAACAAGTATCACAAAGCCAAACTATAGAATAGCCAATGCAAGCATTTTGTACTTATGTAGTTTGCAAGTTGCAACAACAAACAACCACCGGATGCATGAAGCTCCGAAGATGCATTTGAATAAGAATGGCCAATGAACTGGAAAGGGTGTATCAGAAGTTCAGAACATACAGATGCATCTATAGCTGTGATCTAGAAAACTAGCAGTGTGGCTTTGGGTGCATGAGTACAGTGGCAGAACTGGTGAATTTTCTTGGGCCACCATTTATAAGCACCCAAATCACCCACAGGACAAATCAAAGGCTACATACCGATGGACAACAATCATACTCCCTCCGTCCCCAAAAGAAGTGCAATTTTGGAACAATCTCACGTGTTAGTATATCAACTTTGACCAATTATAGATGAAAAAATATAAATATTTATAATATTAAATAAATATCATTAGATTAATTATGAAATGTATTTTTATAATAAATTAATTTAAAGTTATAAATGTGAATACTATTTACCAGAAACTTGGTCAAACATGAACCACTTTACGTCGCACGCAACCCATAGTTGCATTCTTTCTGTCACGGAGGTAGCACTAGAAATCAAGAACTGGGGGTGTGTGGCACTATGCAATTGAAGTTTACAAGCGAAGCTTACAGGCAAAGTGTTTACTAGACGTACTAGTACTCAATTACCCAAAAATTCAAATATAGACGTACTAGTACTCAATTACCCAAAAAATTCATACCGATAGACAACAAACGTACTAGAAATCAAGAACTGGGGGTTGTGCACTGTGCAATTTACAAGCAAATACTAAACGTACTATACCCAAAAATCAAATACCCGCTGTACTGCTGTTGCCAGACGCCCTGATCTGGCCGTTGTCGCCTGTCCCACGCGCAACTAGGCAACGTCTATCCGCCGGGGCAACGCCGGTCACAGGCGTCAGCCACACGACGGCACGAGAACGGCGCAAGGGTTTGCCCGCGTGGCCGCGCCCAATTTGCCCACGCTGATTCGCCGCGCCGCCCACTTGGTTTGCTAGGGCCGGCGACCACCGACCAGGCGAACCTGCAACAGGAGAGGCGAGAGGGAGGGGCGAACTGGAAGGGTGAAGCGCACGGGAGGAGGGACACCGGGCGCCGGCGCTAGCACCTTCTCCTTGGCTAGTTGCGAATTTTGGGTGTGTCTCTCTGGAGTCTGGACCCACTTGCCATAGAAACAGAATGAGATCTCGAACACAACCTTCCCACTCCCACCGCACACCGCACACGTCTGCTCTTTTCTCGCGCTGCCGCCGGTCATGTCGCCTTCACTCACTTCCCTCTGTCACAGTAGAAGTGTCGTGTGTCCTTGTAGCCTTCGAACGGTGTCCCAAAAAATGTGTCGTTTCGTGGTACGGTCCATGGCTACCGCTGTCCTCCGTAGGCTGCAGGCTATCCCTTCACCGTGTGAGAAAATTACAATTATAGAACTTGAAATAATACGCTTTGTTATTATAGGACTCCAAATATTGACTTCGCTAAAACGATCCAGCACTTTGTTATACATGACATTTGATCTTTTTAATCACTTTTCTAAACTAAAATACATGTATTTTGCCATGATGTGACCGTATTGCCCTCAGAGCTTCAATTGGCGTGGGCGCGCTTCACCTGGCCACTTGGCTGGCTGTGGGGTTGGTGGCCTGGGTTTATTGTCAGTGCTGGGTCATAGATGAATTGCAACTAGATGAATTCAGTTCGACGATAAATCAACTAATATTCAAATCAAATCGACTAGATCTAAATAAACAACTAATGTCTACGTCTAATCCAAATCTTTTATTCGAGGTTCACCGAATTTTGAACCTCAACCGAAGTTTGGTGTAGACCTTGACGTCCCTCCTTTGGGACTCCATGTAGTGCGAGGGTTAAAATCTGCGTGTACACCCGAACTTGAAGTAGTGGCGGTACCGCCATGTCCCGCATGACAATGAGCCCTCTCTCGCGGCGTCGCGAACACGATGAGCGCGCGCTGGCCGATGTCATGCATCACGTTGAGCGGAACCGGTGATGCGTCGAGATGGAAGCGTCGACAACGCGTCTCGTCGTGGTAGTAGTACATGGCGGCCGGCCACACGTACGCGCAAAGACATCGAGATCGTGTTCGCCCCGACGCATCAACACCTACATCACCGACATTTGGAGGTCCCCGGGCTGCACGCCGTAGCCTCTCGGCGCCACACCCGTAGTGTACCTCGCCGCACATAGCAACGACAAACCAAAAAGAAATTGAAACGATTAGCAAGCGACGACAAACTACTACGGGTAATCATAGGACAAGATTAGCAACATGATTAGCGTTGATCGTGAAGATTAGTGATGTCGCCGGCTTAATTTAATTAGTATATACGCTTAAGAGGATCTCGAGCGTGGCTTGGTGAAATTGCCGGGGCTCAAGGGCTTGTCGGTGCGATACACCCACATCCACCGCGACGCCGTCGTGGAACTCGTGCACCGCTGGCTCTTCGTGGCGGTCGTGGTGTGCAATTTTGAACCGGTCCTCGGTGAGGTTGATGGCAATGATGAAGCCCAAGTGTGTTTGTCAACACCGTGAACAATCGACCGCACCACGAGACCAAGGCGATGAACAGGAGTAGTAGAGGCCATGGCAGGGAGGAAGCAGGAGCCATTTGCTCGATCGTGTGGATGGGCTTTCTTCTCGAGTTCACTTCATCGACACAACCCAGCGCGCGCCAACAAGCCCGAAAGCGTGCAAGCTGCAAAGCGGCCCCATCCCACGTCAATTGAAGCCCTGAGGGCAATACGGTTACATCATGGCAAAATACATGTATTTTAGTTGAGAAAAATGATTAAAAAGACCAAATATCATGTATAACAAAGTGCCAACATTTCAAGGGTCGATTTAGTGAAGTCGATGTTTGGAGTTCTATAATAGCGAGGCGCATTGTTGGCAATTTTCTCTCACCGTGTTCACCTCCTCACTTCCGCTCTCTCAAAAAAGAAAAACACACACACGGCATCGGGGCGGAGGAGACGGAGACGGAGACAGCGGCGCGCTCTGATGCGGAGGCAGAGGCGATGTTGAGGCGGTGTTCGTAGCCCGCACCCGCACCCGCACCCGCGCGCAGCTCCGCACAACGTCAACCACCGCCATGGCCATCGTGAGCTCCAGCCCGCCATGGCCACTGCCAGATCCAACCCACGTGCCCGGCGCGAAGGCAGAGACGACCACGCGCAGAGGCAGAGTGGCCGAAATGCCCCCCTCCTCTTCTCCTCCGCCAAGATCTGGCGACCTCCTCCTCTTCTTCTACATTGTCGACGGATCTAGCAGCTTTCTCCCATGAGCTCCACCTCGACTCGACGTGGAGGCAGAGGCAACCCCGGGCGAGGTCGCGCGGCCCCACCCAAGCGGCCGCCTCATCTTCTCCTCCGTCCCCCTCCTCTTCTCCAGCAACGACGCAGGCAAAGGAGACTTAGCGTGCGACTCGGCGTCGATCTGAGGCGGAGTGTGCGGCCCGGCGTCGAAGACGAGAGCGACCGGCGCAGAGTTGCGTCCGCCGGGTAAGGAGGAGGCACGGCCGCACGGAGTTGAATCTGGATCAGAACGGAGGACGCAAGAGAGAGATGAGCATTGTGCTAAGGGGTATTATGGTCTTTTACCTCTGGTCTTGGTACGCGAGCTGAGTCCTACCACGACACTCGGGCCTTGTTTCAAAAGATTCGTCTCGTGATTTATAACCAAACTGTATAATTAATTATTTTTTTTATCTATATTTAATGTTCCATGTATATGTCCAAAGATTGATGTGATGGAGAGAGAGTGAAAAAACTTGAAATTTTGATGGGATCTAAACAAGACCTCAAGTACATTTTAGGGAATGATGAAATACAATATGCCAGAAAATTTTATGATATGTTCAGAGAGAGAGAGAGAGAGAGGGCAGATCCTCGAAAATGAATTTGTGATCTGTTCAGAGAGTGGAATCACCCGTATCAAAAGCAAATTTCGTTGAGAGGATGTCATGGTGGTGGGAGATCCTAAGTATCTCCTCTAGAAGAAGGGACAACAATAAATCACTTAGCGCTTGTTTAGATGATGCGGTTTTTGAAAACTATAGCATCACAAAATTATGATTTTATAATTAAAAAGACGTAAAATCGTGGTTTAGAGAAAAAAAAGGTCATGGGTGGAGTTCCTAAAAGTTCAAAAAGACTACAGTTTTGACAAAACTATAGTTTTAGATTTTATAAGATTTGTTGCATCCAAACACTCAGAAGCTTTTAAAAATCAAAGTATCTTGTAAAATCATAGTATTTTTTTTCAATACTTCAAAAATACTTTATATGCAAACAGGGTCTTAATCTGCTGCCCATGCTGAATGCATCTTGAATAGAGAGAGAGGAGACAATAATATTACTCAATCTGCTGCCCATGCTGAATGCATCTTGAATAGAGAGGTGCTTATAAGAAAATGAACGCACCATAATGTAACGAATTACGAATGCTCATCATCTGATCATGGTACGGAATGCTTATGGGGATCCCAGTCTGGAGAGAGAAGAGAAACCATAACGAGACTAGTAGACTACTAGACTAGTGCCAGGCTGATCTTCCACTGTTCTCATATACTGTATTTGTTTACTTCTCGTTGTTTTATGGGTGCTATGTACCTCAGCCACTAGCTGTCGTGAATCTAGATTGAACTCACTGAACTACAGTGTGTTATCAACATCTTCGAGGGATTTGCCGCCCTCTCTGAAGCGATGATCCTTGAGAACATGGGGTTACCGTAGTAGCACGGGGTTCATCGTTCATGTAGCGCTAGCTAGATGAAGCGATGGACCCTTATTTCACGACCAAAAATAAACCATTGCAGCAAAGATCACAAAACATACGCCTTGATCAAACATAGGAAACTGTGATTCTTCAACTGACATAGATACCATTCGAGCAACCATTTGCAAGTGCAAAACCAAATAAAAAACTAATGCAACTAAATCGTCTACCCCAAAACATCTGCCCGATTTAAGAGGTCTGCAAGACAGCAATTTCTAACGTCACTTATTTCCAATCTCTGACGCAAAAAGAGATGCGGTCACAGCCACGCAACAAACAACTCACCAACCTCTGCGAGAGCTAAACTTAAAAATGGTGTCCGGGGTCCATGCGTATGTTATTTGAAGGCACCTAAAACATCCTGTTTGTTGTTTGTCGTCATCATCACCATCCTTAGCCCCCACCAGACCCGTACTTCTTGCCGAAGGCAATCACCTGGAGCTTGTCGTACCCAGCAAGGACACCAGCACCAGCGACAGCACGGAGGATGTTTGCGCCAGCACCCTTGAAAAGGGACTTGGTACCCTCCTTTGCGACAATCTGCTTGAAAGCATCCAAGGAGCTGTTGTACTTGACGGCCTCACCAGATGTCATCATCATGCGACGGCGAACAGTATCAATGGGGTACGAGGCAAGGCCAGCACCAATGGTTATACCCCAGCCGAGCAAGAAGCTGGCTAAGAAGTTGTCCTGCACAACACACCAGTGAACACAATATTAAGATTCAGTAAAAGACCACATTTAACCTAACGTAAAAAAAAGGACAAATATGTGAATCAATCAGGACAAGAAAATTGATTACGCACAAAAACTGTACCAAAGTTTGAGCATGGGACAAGCAATTATGATTCAAAGCAGGTTAGCACTACTATTCTAATGAGGATAGCAATCCAAGTTCAGGTAACTGACCTGCAGGGTACCAACAAGGAGCACTGGCTTCAGGGAGTCATACATACCGAAGTAAAGACCTCGGTACACAATGATCCCCACACAAGAGATATTGAATCCACGGTAGAGGCCACGAATACCATCACTGGCAAGGGTCTTGCGGTAAACATCAACAAGTCCATTGAACTGCCTCTCACCACCCTTCTTTGCAGCCTTGGCATCATTGGCCAAACGTGTACGAGCATAATCCAGAGAATACACAAAGAATAGAGAGCAAGCACCAGCAGCTCCTCCAGAAGCCAGATTTCCAGCAAACCACTTCCAGTACCCATCCTTGTCCTTCTTAAAGTTGAACATGCGCTTGAAGTGATCCTTGAACGCAAAGTTCAATGCCTGAAGCAGGATGGAGCATTTAGGTTTAGCTAGTGCAAACATACAAAACGAATAATGATCACATAACACCAGAACAAAAACGGTTGGATGGGATAGGATGTGGCACCTGTGTGGGGAAGTAACGGATGACATTAGCTGTGTTCCCTCTCCACAGTGAGACAAAACCCTCATCTCTGATTGTCCGGCCAAAGCAGTCCCCAATACCCTTGTAGGGTTCAGAAAGCCTGCCAGTCTTAAGCATTTCATCTTGGTTCTGAATCAAAAGCTTGACACGCTCAATCGGAGCAGCAGCTGTCTTGGAGACAGCAGCAGAAACTCCACCCATCATAAAGTCGATCATAAATCCAGAAAAGCCTTTCTCTTTTGGGGCAGAAGCGAAGACAGGGGATGGTGCCATGACAGACGAGAGTCCAACAGTTGCATTCATCCCATGATATGACCTCCGGGGCGCATTGTAAGCAGAATAGGCATTGTTGAATACAGGGTTGTTCATGGCAGAATAGGAAGAGATTCTGCTCAATAGCACGGACTGCCCATGGACCTTCTGGACCACAAACGTAGAGCGTAGTTCATCCGCCATTTTCACAAGACAGAAGCGATCTGTCAATCAACATGAGACGTTTGGGTCAGATTGTAAGCAAAAACACCATACATATGGAGCACGGGTATAGATAGCCAAAATGTATACATGAATACTCCTAAAAGCACTTAAAAGGAGTTGCACCTAGATCGGTTTGTTTCCCAAGCTAAGTGGAACAGAAAGTTTACTCAGGGTATCATAAAAGGAGTATGAGCAGTTAACCACATGTAAATATAACAGCATATACTGGTGCAGCAAGATGGTTACAACATAATTAAAAAGACTGGCATTTAAGTAATCACAAAAAAAAATACATCTAATTGACAAGAAGCTTTGGCAATCTGTATCTACTATCTAGTCTAGCGTAAACTTCTGAGACCTAGCAGTATTTGTTGATTCAAGGTCAGCCTGGCAAATCTTGAAACCTAGCAGCATTTACAACATGGAAAGAAGGGAAACTACAAGCGTTATTTCAAAATCGCTCTGATATCATCTAGGGGGCTAACATAGAGCTATGATATCGACCAGGAAGAAGTGTCAAACATAGAGATCAACACCCAATTAAGCTACAATGTCGTTAACAAGCCCATCTCAGTATAACAAACATAGCACAGTAGCACATAGAAGCACTACTGTAAAACAGTGTCATTCATCAATGGATATGTACATACGAAACTACAGTAAAACAAGCACGTCAGGCACTAGACTAACCATTATATATAACATATTAATATATAAAACTCATAAGAGACATAACACAGATGGAACAAAACCATCTCTCGAGACCAATTTGAGACACAACACAAATGGAACAAAACACGCTCTTGATACCAATTTTTTTATCCAAGATAGACTGAACATGCAGCTATGGAATGGCAAACAAGAGAAAAACAAAAACAGCATTTGCATACAAGCATCAACAATATCAAAACCTAATGACAAACAATGTGCGAACCACCAAGGTACCAACCAGCAGTGAGCAGCAGTAGTCCAGCAATTGATGCCTATCCAGGAAAATAAGCAATGCAAATTGCAAACTATCGACTATCTCGATTCTAAGTTCAAAGTTCAGTGTATTTAAAAACCCCTCTAATGTGCGTAATGCACTCATGCAATAGCAAAAGAAACATCCAAAGTTTCACAAAAGTTGTACTTCACAGCAAGTTGTCTACCCAACCCATTATCACAAGGACTCTGTGATTCTAAACGGCAAACATGCAAACTTTTAAACAAGAGTGATATTTGAAGTGCGGCTCTGAGTTTACTTACATTGCTAAACAGCAATGGACTGGTCCTCGAAACGAAGTAAAGAATACTAGCTCTTTGTGTACATATTTGAGTCGACAGCACTAGACTAGATGACACCTGATGTTGACAGGAACTACTAGCTCGCACAGACCGCAGTTTCAGTTCTAGTTCCCATAAACTAAACCCTAAACCCTAAATAAAACATGCTACCGATTAAAGGTAAGCCAACACGCGGAAATAACAGAAGCAGGCAAAACGGAAACGTCGTATCAGGAGGCCGTGCATATGCGTCCCTACTACAGAACTAGAGAACTGGAAATTAAAATCACTTCATCCATCCAGATCTACGGTCCTCTGTACTACCGACGAAGTTCAATTCCTCAGGTAAACTTCTCACATAGCCAGATCTACCGACAAACCGCTATGCACCCATCTCAAAAACAAAATTAGATCCCGACTGATCCCCTCGCAAATTCACGAACCAGACTGAAGCGGCTTGGTGGAGAGAGAGAGAGAGTGCGTACCGAAGAGATGGAGAGAGTGAAGATATGGAGCGAAGCCCGGGTTCCCGCCGACGCCGCGGTCGGGCGGAGCCCCGTCGCGGCCGGCGTCGCCCTCGCTCGCGCCGTGGAGGAGAGAGGTGGAGTTGGGACGGGGGCTCTCTGGTTGGGTCGCCGAGACCTGGGACCTGAGATGAGACGAGACGACTAGATGAGGAACGGTATAAAAGACCTGGGGTTTGGCTGGCGTGCTGGAAGAGTAAAAAGTCCAAAACGCCCTTCCAGAGAAATGGGCGAGTTTTTTTTTTTTTTTTGAAACTGCGAGTCTTCTTATTTGGATTGAGGAGGAAAAATAAATAATGGGTCTTTTTTTAAGGAAGGCTCCGGAGTTCGGCTCGGCCCAGCCTTGTGCTGCGTGCGGCCGTAGCCCGTGACGATCTCTCAATTGGGCCGAGGAAGCTACGCTGGCCTTTCCCATTCGTGTTGGGCCCGCTGAACAGCTCTGTCCGTCCATGGCGTCCAGGGTGACGGCCCACGACACGTTGCACCACGACGGACTTGCCCGGCCCAGGAACTGCTTGCCACTCATCGCATCGCCGTCGGGCCACTTCTTTCCAGCTGCAGCTCCGCCGGCCGAATCGCCCTAGCCCCGGTCTGGTGGATTCGCGCCATAAACCGGCATCTGGGTGGGTCGGACCAACAACGCCTACCTGCAATCCTGCGACACGGTGCTGCTCTGCTCGTCTTGGGTTCCGACCGACTGACCATCACTGCGTATACTAGCTTATTAAGCTTTAAGCCTAACCCTCTCACTCTCGGTGTCTGTCAGTGCTCACGGAGTCACGGGGATCACAAAACTAGTGGAGCGCAGCCCAGTAGTTCGGTGCTCTAGCAAAAACTTGTATTGAACGTCGATACCAGCGATCGGTTGTTGTTTACAAAAGGATAGCATTGGATCTTGCATGCACACGCGCAGAGCGCAGTTGTCCTTTGAGTAGTGAGTCGCCGTGATGCCGTGACAGGAACAGGTTACTGGTCGAGCGAGATCTTTCACCGGGGCTGTTTGATAATTTCCCTCCAACAAACACCTAACCACGACTGAGCACGGTCCGCAAGAGTACGAAGCTCCGAGCAAATGGGTCCAGAGGGCTCTGGAACCATCCGGAGACACCAAAGTCCTCGTATAAAACATACTGTAGTTTACTTAGGGTGGGACGAGAGACAAGAGACTATTTTTTAGTTCTTTTTAACGGAATAGGAGGGACTATTATAGGGACTTTTAATCTCTAGTCTACTAGCCCTTTGGTAGAAGTTTTTTATGATTAATGGACCAACTTTACAGCCCTTATCCCTCCCTCTCTCTCCTCCCTCACATCTGTCCAGAGAAATAAGAAAGATATTTTAGTCTTTATTCAACCTTTTAATCTCTTTTAGTCCCTGATACCAAACATATCATTTAATCCCTTTTTTAGTCTCCCGTCTCAAACAAGCCTTATTAAGAGCAAGGACTTTCAGCTCTCCAGCAGAGATTGGATTGGATGACCAAACGTGCATTAATACGTGACCTGATCTGTCCCAGTGTTATACCGACACTTGGAGTACTCCTACCTTAACCTATCCGTTGAGTGCAGCAGTTGAGGCGGAGGTAGTTTACACTTTCGTCCACCAATTGAACCGCGTGAAGTTCTGAAGGGTTTCTATTCTTCTGTTGTCAGGAACGGCAAATATCTAATGGAATTCAGAATCAGGGCTCGAGGTTTCCATCATTCCGAGACGGGCCCCTAAGCTAAGCATTTTTTTTCTCTGTTCACTTGGCTGATAAACTATGGCTGAAAGTATTATTTCTAATTTATTGTGAGAGTGTGAAAAAGTTAGGCTTATAAGCCCAGCGAGCACGATGTTTAATATCGAACACTGCCAGCCACTGTCTGCGTCTCTGCGAACGCTGACCTGTGACCAAATTGCTATTGTTAATTTTCCACCGCTAGGTGAAAGTCGGAAGGACGGCAAGACCAGCAGAAACCAACGCTTGCCACGGGGATTATTCTGCGCATAGTGCCATGTGAACCATCGTGCTCAAGAGATAAGATAAGCGTCCATGTGAAGCTGGAGTGGGGTTTGATCCTGTCACGTCTTGACGCTTTCAATGTCAGAGAAAATTCACGCCACAGGCCTGCAACCACACAGCCAGGAAATTCAGAGATGCGGTGCGTGTGACATGACGAATCCACGATCAAATTCAGAGACCTGGTGCAACTGGAAAGCCGCGCGTCGGCCGTCGGCTGGTGTGTGGGATCGGAACCACTGACCCGTGGGCCCTTGTCCCGCAGTGCTGCCTGCCACGCGCCCACGCCGCGCGCGCACCACCACCCCCGGGCATAACCACCGGGGGCCGTCACGCCGCGCCGCGACGCGGACGCCTCTCCTTCCGCTTGCCGCCGCCTCGTGCTCGCGCGATCGGACGACGACTCCACCGCGCCAACCGATCTCCCCTCTCCTCTCTCCAACTCTCCCCGCGCCCGCGGCGAGAAATAAAAGAGATCCCCGACCCCGACGCGCCACCCGCAAATCTCGCTCTCCCCGCCGCCCGCTGCCTGCCGCCGTCCCGCACGCCTCGGCCGCGCCGCACGCTCGCCCGCTAGCGCGCCGCGGCGCCCGCACGATCCCATGGCCCCCGCCGCTGCCGCCGCAGCGGGGCCCTCGCCTCGCAGGTGGCTCGCGGCGGCCGTCCTCGCGCTCGCCTGTCTCCTCGTGCCGGCGGTCGCCAGGCCCGACAAGGAGATGCGGGAGAGGTTCTACGGGACGCTCGTCACCAACGGCACGCACAACGCCTCCGGGGACGGCAGCATCGCCGAGATGTTCGGCCGCGTGCTCGACAAGGAGTTCTCCGACAGCGACACGCCCGACGGTACGAATCTGGATCTGCGCCAGGCATTTGGGTTCGAGCTGGGTAGCAATGGCTCGGACAAGAGTTTGTCACAGTCTTGGGCTTCGGCATCTGCTGTACTGTAGCTACAGCTTTATTATATCATTCAGTATTTTTTTGAATGACGATTTGTGCTTCTGTTCATCCTCTTGCAGCTCCCGACAAGAGTAGCTTCAACAACAGCGTATCAGATCATCAAGTAGGTGTGACTTTCCTCTTGCATGAATGTGACCTATTGTTCTCCGATGACGTTTGCCGAAACTGCTGTGTAACCTTTACAATTATTAGTTTTTTCTTTTTCCCGAAGAACCACATTTGCATTTATTAGTAAGATGGGGCCCTTTTTGAAAAGTTCACCGTGAAAAGTTCACAAATGGTGAATGAACATCATGCATGTCTACTATTGCCCTAGATTGTCACCTACAAGAACTAGTAATGGGTAATCTAGTGAATAAATATGGAATGGTATTGTTGCTGCGAAAGTAGTTTCCAATGAAAGCAAAGAGAAGAGTTCCATTTAGGGAATGTTTCCAATGCACCTGCATAATTAGAATCTGCTTGGTGAATCAGTGACAAAAGTGAAGTGAAGTGCCTCAGCAACCTGCAGGATTAGTGAGACAGTCAATAAATGCGACAAATGACACCCTTGCTAATCACAAGATTTTTAGCTTCTCATATCAAGATACAGTGTTTCGATGGCACTTGCTCCTTTGCTGTATATATGTAGATGTCAGATTAGTTATATGTTTTATGCTTATTATGAAACTTTATATTTTGTAAGTGTGTTGTTCTGCCGAGGTAACTCGATGTATGTGAATTTTCCCCAGCCTCCCGTTATATCATTTGGGTATAGCTTTGCTTCTTGTGTTGTGTTGAAATTACTAATATCTCGTGACCTGATTTACCCTGAGTATTTAACTGTGGAATTGCAAGGATAGAAACAGCTCACTTCTTTTTAAAAAATAAAATGGACATGAAAATTTAGAAAACGTTGTTTTTGGCTGCTAGATTTTTTTTTTCTTTCAGTGTGGTTTGCTATAAACAAAATAGTAATTTGTTTTTTGCTCAGGCTGTTCTGGAGACGGTAGCTGTCATTACACATGACAAGAAGAAGAATGATTCACAGCATACTAAGTATGGCCAGAATTTGAACAACATCATCTGTCAAACTTGCTATATCTGTAGCACCATTCTGTATCAACTTTCTGACTTACACACCGGTTCTGGTGCAGTTCCCCAAAACCTTTCCAAATAGGTGACATGTTTGGAGGCCAGGATGAGTCCTCTGATGACTTGGAAACTGTGATAGATAAGGAGGTGTGTAAATTCACTTAACATCATATGATCGGTCTGGTAGCCGCTTACTGAAGGCGTTAACTTTGCACAGGATAATGTTTTTGTGATGTCAAATCGTAAAACAAAGTATCCAACTCTTCAACTAGATTTACGGTCAGCTGCTCCCCACCCCCACCCCTTTATACCTTCACCTGTATGTGCCCATATGTAATCTCCTATGGCCCATAACTCGTTATATACAATTTCTCAATGCAGATTGATTAAAGATCTGGTAATTATAATCGTTTCAGCTACTGGTGGTGGTATCATATTCTCTTGTATGGGGCAGCCGGTCAGTAATTTTGAGATATTTTTGTACTTAAGTACTTAACTTCTTACATATTTGGTAGGCATGATATATGTTATTCTTCCAGGTTATCGTTGGCTACCTACTTGCTGGTTCTCTAGTTGGACCTGGGGGGTTGAACTTTATCAATGAAATGGTGCAGGTAACATGATCATTAACAGCTTACAATACAAATTGCACTTTTGTCCCTTTTTCTTTCTTACTCTTCTCCCTTTTCTATTATATATGCCCATCAAAGGGTTAGTATAGACTTTGAAAGGACAAGACTCACAATTTGGTTAAACTTAAAGGAGCATGGCCCTGTCAATTTTCTTACTCTTAAATCATACTCACCAGAAGATTAATTCCATTTGGCAAATTGAAGTCACATACTTATCAGAATTATTGTGTTCAACTACAGGTGGAGACTTTTGCTCATTTTGGTGTAGTGTTTCTTCTTTTTGCTCTTGGTCTCGAGTTTTCACTGACTAAGGTACTAAAAAATTCTCTGGATGTTGTCTTGAGTCCAATATATCTCTTTCCAAAGTATTTTTGACAAGTGTACATGTCAAAAGGTTTCCTTACTGTGCCTGTCATTTCTATCAGTTGAAAGTCGTTGGTCCTGTTGCTGTACTTGGAGGTCTGCTTCAGACTGCTCTGTTCATGTTCTTATGTGGCCTCACTGCAGCGGTATGTGCGTCTATCAAGCTTTAAATTGTCTTTCTTGTTTCTTGGATACATGTTGGATGTTGCACTGTAATAGAAGAACTGCTCTCCTAACATTAATTTGCAATTTTTCCAGTTGTGTGGTGCTAAATCATCCGAAGGAGTGTTTGTTGGTGCCTTCTTGTCTATGTCATCTACTGCAGTGGTAAGTATATTTGTTCAATGTGGCTGTCATTTTAAGTACACCCTCCGTTTCAAATTGTAAGTCATTTTAGTTTTGTTCTAAGTCAAGCTACTCTAACTTTGACCAAGTTTATAGACAAATATGTTAACATTTACAAAACCGAATAAAAGTATCATTAATGCATGTTTCAATTTTGATTTTAGTCAAGTTATTTTGATGTGTGCTAGATGTTGATCCATTCTCCTATAAACATGGTATGCTGGTCAAACTTAGACTAGTTTGACTAAGAACAAAATTAAAACAACCCACAATTTACTATTACAATTTAATTGGGCATTTCAGCTGAAGAATGGAGTAGGTGGAGTATTTTTGGGCATGTTCCAATTATATGAATAGTCTGGCAAATTGTTTTCAGACATTAGTTAAGAATTTTGAGGATCTTCAATCTGTTACCATTTTTCTAGGTTTCGAAGTTTTTAGTGGAAAAAGGTAGTACAAACACGCTTCATGGTCAAGTTACAATTGGAACGCTAATACTTCAGGTGAGGACTCTCATCCAATTCTTTCATATATTTTCTCATCTATTGTTATGATCTGGGAAAAAATATTGGTTTTGTTTGAAAAACTGATATTGGAATCTTTAACTCATGTAGTAGGGTAAACCTCTCTCTTATTTGGATATTAGATTATTCTGTAGAGCTTAAGAAAATACATGGAGGGCGAACTTAACATTTAGTACATGGCCAAGTTAACTAGTATTTGAGCGGTGAAAGAAATTGTACTTAATGTTTCTTGGTATGGTAAGATCCCTTTAAGGGAAGCAGGTTCTATGGGCTAGTGGTATAACTGCTTGCGATTAAGATTCAGTGATGTCATCTGTGTTTCGTGTCTCCCTTACTCCAGGATTGTGCAATTGGCCTGCTGTTTGCTCTCCTTCCTGTTCTTGGAGGTGCTAGTGGCATTTTTGGAGGAGTGATGTCAATGGCGAAACTGTAAGAATATTACCGTGTCATAAAAATATATCTGACTGCTTTTCTTTTGTCTTGAGTTATGTCATGAAATGTTTTGTATGTGCAGGTTGCTTGTGCTATCCATATTTGTAGCTGTTACATATATGATGACATGGTCAATTGTTCCCCGATTCTTAAAATTGATGATTCAGTTATCTTCACAGGTTAGGCCAATTGTGATGCTCCTCTTTCTTCTAGCTCTGAGTTTGGCTTTTCTTTGCATAGATCCTTAATGATGCTTTTGGCAGCTTGGTGCTGCATTACTTTTTTACTCGTTTTCCTTAAGTGTGTTTGCACATGAGCAGGGTGGTTATCTTTTCACTCTCTTGTGCGGAAGAGGTTATTATAAAGATAATTATTTGCAAAATCAATTTGTCTCCACTCTGTCTTGTTACAAGAAATGCATGTTCTTTATGCTGCAAAACCTTTTTGTTTTAGAAAATATAAAAAAACTTGGCTACATCATATTGTTCTTTACTGTTTGGCGAGCACATCTGGGTATGCAAAGCATAAACTGAAACTAGACTTGTTTGCATATTATTTCGTTATTTCACAAATGAGATAAAATGGGGGATACCTTTACTCCTACATGTCCTCCATATGATGTCCTGCTGAACATTTTCAGATGTACCTGCCTTTTCCCCCCCTCACTTCCTAATGCTCTTTTAATATTTGCAGACAAATGAACTCTACCAATTGGCCTCCGTTGCATTTTGCTTACTTCTAGCCTGGGTAATTTTTTTTTCTTGTTTCATTTATTAAAGTATATTCTGTTATTGCTCCAGTATGACTTTTGAGGTATATAAGCGCAATGTGACAAATGGCAATAGTGTCAAATGCTTGCCTGTGCACTGGTATAGCATAGAGTGTTCTCATGAAGCATGAAATTGAGATGGCAATGATTTCTTCACTTTATCTTCTATACTCATGTTGTTATCACAACTTTGGTGGCTGCTCATATTTGGCATTGAGACAACTAAGTCGGGAATTGAATAATGACCGCAGCATTGTGAGGGCTAAGAATAAATACAACAACAACAACAACAAAGCCTTTAAGTCCCAAACAAGTTGGGGTAGGCTAGAGTTGAAACCCAACAGAAACAATCAAGGTTCAGGCACGTGAATAGCTGTCTTCCAAGCATTCCTATCTAAGGCTAAGTCTTTGGGTATATTCCATCCTTTCAAGTCTCCTTTTATTGCCTCTACCCAAGTCAACTTCGGTCTTCCTCTGCCTCTCTTCACGTTACTATCCTGACTTAGGATTCCACTACGCACCGGTGCATCTGAAGGTCTCCGTTGCACATGTCCAAACCATCTCAACCGGTGTTGGACAAGCTTTTCTTCAATTGGCGCTACCCCTAATCTCTCACGTATATCATCGTTCCGAACTCGATCCCTTCTTGTATGCCCGCAAATCCAACGCAACATACGCATTTCCGCGAATAAATAATGTTTTATTTTTCCCTGTATGAAGGAATTGGTTCATTATGCATGAGACAACTATAGAGATAAACCCATGCTAGTTTAGGGTGAATCTGACATGAGAGGGGCAACTGTTAGTATAATGCTTTTTATTTTCTTTCATTTTTCTCTTGAGATATTTCAAAATTCCATCAGCATCCATACAAGTACAACATTAACCATGTAGACTGACGTCGTAATTTTGGATTTGCCAGTGCAGTGACTATTGTGGATTGAGTCTTGAATTGGGGTCATTCCTTGCTGGTGTTATGATATCAACCACAGATTTTGCTCATCATACTTTGGAGCAGGTGCTATTCTGAATCCAGCTCATGTTGTACTTTGGTGTGACTAGTTGACATTACTGGAAGTCCGGAAATCAACTGTTTCTTTGTTTTTTCTCTTTCCCTTCTTTACATCAATAGGAGTTAGGCTGCTTTGGAAGGAATGCACTTATGTTATTACTTTGCTTGATCTTGGTTTAGCATGCTTTAAGGACATTTCATTTTAGTAAAGTTGAACTCTCTCTCTATATAACTAACCTTTTCTCCTTTATTTTAAGGTCGAAGCCATTCGCAATCTGTTTGCAGCGCTCTTCCTTGCAAGTATTGGAATGCTCATACATGTTAAGTTCTTGTGGAATCATGTTGACATATTACTTGCAGCTGTTATACTGGTTATAATAGTAAAGAGTATTGTCATAACTATTGTTGTAAAGGCATTTGGATACAGCATCAGAACAGCTTTTGTTGTAAGTATCTTCCGTTGGTGGTTCTCCATCAGTTTTTCACCAATCTTGAAATGTATACTCACACTTTCCTTCTTATTTGGTCAAGGTTGGGCTGTCCTTAGCTCAGATAGGAGAGTTTGCTTTTGTGCTTTTGAGCCGTGCCTCCCATCTCCATCTTGTTGGGGTAAATTAACCTATCTTTTTCATGTGTTTCTTTTAAACATATGTTCATATTTTAGAACAACAACTCCAGATTGCCACACATTCATGGTTACAATTTCTTAACTGTTTAAAATTATTTTTCAGGGGAAAATGTATCTACTATTACTGGGAACAACTGCCCTTAGCTTGGTAATTACCTTTTTTGTCTTATATTGTGGGCCTTAGCTGTTAGGTATACATCTCTCACTTTTCTGTTCATTGTTGCAGGTAACAACTCCTCTCATTTTCAAACTAATTCCTGTGGTAATGCACCTTGGCATCCTTATGCGTTGGTTCCCCTTGGAAAACAGTATGCAGAGTGAGGTATCCTTTACTACCCTCTTTGCTGATTTTATTCAAAGCTTGACTTATTGACATTGTTGGCTGGAGTGGTAAAGGCGTAACACCTTGTTCAAATTTCATGATCTAGAATCTTTGACATGTTAGGTTTTGAAGAAGTGTCAAAGACAAACTACTTAGTGAAATATCACATTTGTGTTTTTCTTTTGTTAATCGGTTGAGGTACCTTATATGTCATTCCAGTTCTTTTTCTTATGTACACTTGAATCTGAAAATAGATGTTTTCTTCTTCAATGAAAACTGGGATCACTCTTAATGGCTACTTATCAATATATATAAATCTTTAAATAGTAGAGCCAACCCCATTTGTTCAATTGGTATTATATTAGTTATTAATATTCTTTTATAACTCCATACCTGATCATATTTCAGCTTCCATTACAGGATAAAGCGGTTATGCTTGAAGCTCACAACAGATCACTCTAATTGCCTAGCTACAACATTCTTTTGACTGACAGTGATTTATTTGTGCATGGACTCTTTGCACATGCCATGAATACATTGGAGAAACAATTACACACCGATCCCCTTTTGTGGCGATATGGGAACACGAAGTGATGGGCAAAGTTAACAGCTTGGCCAGCCGTGGGGCTCTCCGTATAGCGTTCTTTTGATTGTAATTTTGAGTTGTACATACTGTACATGTCGTCAAGGTAGCATACAAGGGATCTGTCCATATGAGGAAGGCGCCGACGGCCCTTGGTTTTGTATCATTGTTGCCAACTCGATCGGTCTAGGAAACTAGGTAGGGATTTTGGTGCCTTGTGCTCAAATGTACAATTATTGTCAGAAGATGACGGGAAAGTTGTATGTTATGTATTTGCTCTGTTCTTGTGATGACCAATTGACCATGGACACATGAACACGTCCATCATGCTATGGTAAAGTGTTGTTCACCGTATCGATTATTAACTCTGTTTGTACTGCCATTTGTGTGGCGAACATTGTTTGCTGGAGGACAGCTTGTTTGCATCGTCCTTTGGCGCGTACCGTTTGTCGTATCCATCGGACAAGGGCAAAGGCAAGGACTGGAGGGGGTGGTTGCCATTGCTCTGGATGTATGATATCTGATCCTGGGTAATGCTGGCTCGTGATCCAAAGTTGGTGCGGCCATTAAACCGACTTGGTCTAGCTGGAGAACAACTGGATTGAGGTGATGGCATTTTGACGCTTTGTGGTTGCTTCGGTTCAGCGGGTGCTGCCGCCTGCCGGACACACATGCACAGCGAGTCAGCGAGGGTGCCTGGGTTTTTTTTGCTGCTGGGAGCTATTGGTCAGGGGCCCAGGAGCTTTGGGCGGCCATGGTGCGATCTGAATATGCGACAGCGACGCGTGATCTCGAATTCTTCTATTCAGGTAACCACTTGTTCGGTAGTAACAATGGAATCACGATCTCGTATTTTCCATCATTGGGTTGAGGATGACTGGAATCATAAAAAAGTTAAAAACTATTTAAAATATTAAAGAATTCTTAGTATAAGCTAGAATAGCTCATTTGGTTAGATTGTATGGCCCTTAATTAATCATAAGGTTGGAGGTTCGAGCCCTCCTTCTAGTGATTTGATTTTCATTACACCAAACTGACCTTTTCTTTTGACAACATACACCAAACTGTTTTTGGAATATTTTTGGCATGTCACTAAACAGTTCCATATTTTTCATTTCACCAAACTATTTTTGAAATTTCTATTGGCATGACACTAAACAGTTCCATTTCTTCTGAATTAGCTCTACCTTTCCATTTCACCAAACTATCTTTGGATTTTTTTTTTTTGCATGTCACTAAACAGTTCCATATTTTTCATTTCACCAAACTATTTTTTGGAATTTCTTTTGGCATGTCACTAAACAGTTCCATTTCTTCTGAATTAGCTCTACCTTTTCATTTCACCAAACTATTTTTTGAATTCTTTTGGCATGTCACTAAACAGTTCCATTTCTTCGGAATTAGCTCTACCTTTTAAGCATAGAGTTATTGCTTTTTTTGTACTAGATGAGTGCCCGTGCGTTGCAACGGGTGCAACATAAATTGAATGAGATGTTTGTTAGCCAAGTCAAAATCAAGAATATATCAATTCAATTTTTTACGTGTATTATACCATGATAATGTCTAGAAACACATTTATTATCGTAATGAATCTAAAATAAAAGCTAGGCTTGGAGCTTGTTGTCTGAAAGTTACAACAAACATCAGTTGTCTCAAAGGCTGAAAATTTATTGCTATACATCGAATTGAATTTATCCATGCTCTGCCTTGCCAAAACATATATACTTGGACTTACAATATCCTAGCCTGCATGAGGCATGGCAATAATTTATTTTTCGAGAAAAAAAAGTATTTGTTGTCAACACACAACGCGAAGGACGACGAACGAGATTTGGATCACGATCATGATCATTGCGTGGTGATATTCCAATAAATTCCTTTCTCTTCCCATAATTCTCTTTTCGTTTTATTTCATTTTATTTAGTTGCCTTTCAGTGCCTCCATGCGGTGATTATTTGACTGTCGGTGATTGGTCTCACATGCATTCTGTACCGTTTGGCCATGTGCAGCTAAGAACACACGATGAAGAGCTTCTTCATGAGCTCCTGAAACATCAGACAAAGCAAGAGCAGGGACAAAGCACTGTCATTAGCGAAAGCAGTTGTGGCGTCTGCATCACACACTGACAATAATACAATAATAAAAACAACGTCTGCTCGCCAATGAGAAGATGCATCCGTGGCTTGCCTGTTGCCTCAACGGCAGTGCAGCAGATGTATTGGGCCCCATTCCCACAACGATATGATGTGAATTTGTGCCTATTCGCTTATCTGAATTTCGAAGGAATTTGGATGGTTTAGAGAAATGTTGGAAGGAATCTGTGAGAGAAACATTGTTCCGAATGAAAAAATAAGCGGATCAAGCCGGGTAACGATATGATGTGAATTTGGGCAAACCATCCAAATTCCTCGAAATTCGGAGGAATTTGGATGCCCAAATTCATAGAGAATATCGTTGTGGGAATGGGGAATTATGAGAAAATGCACTGCCGTTGAGGCAACAGGCAAGCCACGGAAACAGTGTTTTTCTGAATATGCTGTAGTGATGTGATACTTTTTGTATTGTTAACTAACGCCGTGTTTAGTTCACCCTCAATATCTCAAAAACCACCAAATTCCTCATCGAATATTCAGCCCACAAATGGAGCATTAAATGAACAAAAAGAAAAATTCATATCATATCGTTGTGGGAATGGGGCCCATTACATCTGCTGCACTGCCGTTGAGGCAACAGGCAAGCCACGGAACAGTGTTTGTCTGAATATGCTGTAGTGATGTGATACTTTTTGTATTGTTAACTAATTGATGCTAACTAACTTTACGGATTCTCAAGCTTGTTTCTGACTATTAAATGAAGGGCAAGGTTGTTTCAGATTTACTGATGCAGACGTAAAGAAATATGAACGTGAATGGTAGTAGAGAATTACCACGGAGGAGAGGCTCTTCTTGCCGACGTCAACCGGCAGAGCTTGTCCGCACCTCAGTCTCCGGCTGAGCACCATAAGCTCCTCCAGTGTCGTCGCCGCGCTCCTCGGAGGGCTCCATGGATTGCTCTTGTTCAGCTGGTCCTCGTCATTGGCCACCTCCCAGCTCTTCTCTGAAGGCGCCCGGGGAAACTGAAACTGAAACTCCTGGTCCTGTGCTGAAGTATCACCACTGGAGTGGCTGTAGTCTTCTGACTCTGAAAACGAGAACCAGCCCTCACGACGGCCGGAGGAGCCATCTGCCCATGCTGCAGCACCAGAGGTATCGCTGCTGTCTGGAAAACCAAATGCTTCCAGCTCAAAACCAAGCGAGTATTCCTCCTCGCTCTCGACCACAAATGGGTTCAGTGAGCGGGAAGATGCTGAAAAGCCACCATGATCCGGGGGGAGCACATGGAAGGGAGATGCTTCCTGCAGAGGCTTCCCAGGCTTTTCTTCCCACTGGAATGGCACGCTCACAACAAGCTTTGTCGGGGTCGGGGATGGGCATGCGAACGCTACTGGCACTGGCTTGGAGATGACCCAGTCCCTCTTCGGTGCACTGGGCTTCACCTCCCAGAGAAATGGGATTGAAATCTGCTGCTTGACGCGTTCCCGAGGGTTGAATTCGGGCAGCTCAAGCTCCCCATCCATTTTTTAGATATTTGGTTTGGAATTTGGAGATGAAATTTGTGCTGTGTTGCTGCATCTTGCCTGCACTGCTGATATATGTAGGAGCGAACTTGTGAGTTAGATGAGCTGCTCCTGCATCACACTGCTCTTGTTCAACTGTTCCTTTGCTATGCCTGCAATACAATTAGACAGTACCAACTCCTCTTTAAGCTCAGACCATGAAGAAAAATGGTCTTCAGATCTCAGCAACTGCTCTTGCATTTGCAGTTTTTTTTTACATAGGTTCAACTTAGAAAGAGCCTTACATAGACCGAAAACCAAAAGGATAAAATCACAGACATGGATTTGGTAATTTGACCAAAACAATCACTTATTCAGCAATAAATCTAAATACAATTTACAAATGAAGCTGTGCCACAGTAAAGAATAAAAAAAAAAAGAATGTGACCTTCATCTGTAGAAAAATCAGAAAACACTTTTCCTGTTAACATCCTATTCTGCTACTATGTTGTGACAGCAGAAGATCAAGAACTAATTCTAACGGACTCCAAGAACTGTACCACTTCTGCCATGCTAGGTCGGCTTGATGGTGTATTGGAAGTACATACCAGACCCAATTTGAGAACTTGAACCAATTCAGCTTCAACAAATCCCCTCAGGCTTCGATCAAAGCAGTCCGATGCGGTTCCATCCTCCAATATCTCTCTTACATAATCACGGAGAACCACAGCTGTAGCCACCCCAGGGCTGTCCACAGGTTTCCGCCCTGTCACGATCTCAAGCAAAACCACCCCAAAGCTAAATACATCACTCTTGTCGCTATATCTCAAAGTCGGAGATGCCAGCTCTGGTGCAATGTACCCAATTGCAGTGTGAATTCTACTCAATTCAATGCTTCCTAGTATTGGCAACAGCTTCGCCAATCCATAATCAGATAGCTTAGCTTCATATTTCCCATCTAACATAATGTTGGAGGACTTGATGTTCAGATGCAGGATCTGTGGCCGGCAATCATGGTGGAGGTAAGCAAGGGCACGGGCCGCTCCAAGTGCAATGTTGAACCTCCGCTCCCAAAACAGTTCACCTCCAGTACCTCTGCTGCTGCTCTCAGAGAAAGCAAGAGGATGGATACCGTGGAGGTGGTCGTACAAGCTCCCATTGGCCATAAATTCCGAGAGAAGCAACTGCATCGAGGATGACCAGTAGTAACCCTGAAAAGCAACCACATTGGGGTGGCTGAGGTTACCAAGCTGGCTCATCTCATGCTCAAACTCATCTTGGCCTCTCACCCTCCCTAGTGTCTCCAGTTTCTTCACAGCAATGGATAGGCCATTTTCAAAAGTAGCCTTGTACACTGTACCAATTGATCCACCACCAATGAGACAGTCTTTATCAAGTAACGCCTTAGTTCCAGTTTCCCAATCTTCGTACCTTGAAGGCAAGCTCTTGCTGAAAAGCACCAATTTTCCAATGATGGCATTTGAGACTGGAGATGCAATTGGGGGGGTGCTCTCAGACACAAGAACCTCTTCCTCTTCCTTACTGTCCTCTTCTGTACTCTTACGTGTATAAGCCTTGATGTTTAACGCACAAACAATGCATATTCCAATAAGTATGAGGGCTGCAGCAACAATGGCGATTATGACAGGCACACCCAATCGTTTGCGGTGCTTCGTCCCAGTCCCACAGTTATTGGGCAATGGAGAGCCACATAGTAACTGGTTACCCATGTATGCAGTGTAATCAAATTTCTGCAAGACTGGCTCAGAAGGGATCATGCCAGATAGGTTATTGAAGGACACGTTGAAATGTGTCAGGTTAGGGAGGTTCCCAAGCTCTGGAGGGATTGGCCCAGTCAGTTGATTCTCCGAGAGGTCTAGAAGAACAAGGTTTGTGAGCTGCCCAAGTGTGACCGGAATGCCGCCATCAAGCTGGTTCCTGTGGAGATCAAGCATCTTGAGGTAGGTTAAGTTGTTGAGTGTGCCTGGGATAACTCCTTGCAGTTTGTTGCCGGACAGGTTCCTGTGTTGATTTAATTTCGCTACTAGTCAGTACATGGAAACATTGTTACCAGAAGTGAATTGCAGCAGTGCGAGTACTGAACAAACACTTACAGTTCAAGCAAGAATCGGCACTGGCTGAGGGATCCTGGAATCTCTCCTGTGAGAGCAAGGCCCGCGAGGTCGAGTGTGACAAGCATCTCAATCCCACCAAGCTCAGCTGGAATCGAGCCAGAAATGTGAGGATTGCCCGCGAGCCGGAGAACGGAGAGCGACCGCAGTGTCCCAATCACAGGCGGTACAGCTCCAGTAAGAGCATTCGCCCCCAAATCCAAAACCCTCAGGTCGCGGCAATTCACCACGCTCTCCGGCACTGGCCCCGTGAGCCGGTTGCCGGACGCGTCCAAGTATGAGAATTTGGTGCCGCAGGTTGCAATGCTGGGGATTTCGCCGTCAAAGGCGTTGGAGGAGACATTGAAGTAGGTGATGTTTACCGAGCCAAGAAGCGCAAAGGGCGCGGCTCCGGAGAAGTTGTTGCTGCCGACGTCGAAGAGGTCAATGCTGCCGCAGGAGGTGAGCTTGCCGGCTATGTCCCCGGAGAGCGCGTTGCTCCGGACGGAGATGTAGTTCATCTCCGGCGACGCGCAGACCCGGTCGGGGAACTCGCCGGAGAGGCGGTTGTAGGAGAAGTCGAAGCCGGCGAGGCGCGAGCAGTTGGCAATGCCGGGTGGGACGGGGCCCGTGAGGTCGTTGTGCGCGAGCGAGACGTAGCGGAGGCGGAGGCAGGTGTCGAAGAGCGCGGCGGGGATCCCGCCGGCGAAGCGGTTGTAGGAGAGGTCGAGCAGGCGGAGCCACGGGAAGGCGCCGAGGAACGGCGGGATCTCGCCGTCGAGCGCGTTCCGGCTGAGGTTGAGCTTGCGGAGCGTGGGCGCGAGCGCGAGGAAGCTGGAGGGGACGCCGCCCGTGAGGGCGTTGCCGAAGAGCGAGACGGACTCGAGCGCCGGGAGGCGCGCGAGGGAGGGCGTGAGCGTGCCCGCCAGCCCCGCGCCGTGGATGCGCAGCCGCGTCACGGCGCCCGCGTCGCAGGTCACCCCGACGAAGTCGCAGGGGTCCCCCGTGGGCGTCCACGTCGCCAGCACGCCCCCCGGGTCCGCCGTCACCGCCGCCTTGAAGTCCAGCAGCGCCTGCCGCTCCGCGTCCGTCGCCGCGCCGGCGCGGTGGCACTGGCAATGCAGCAGCAGCAGAAGAAGAAGCGGGGCCAGAAGAACCGCCGCCGAAGGGGCGGGCGTGGCCCGGGAGCGGCGCGTCATCGCGACAGGGGCAGGCCGCGCTGTGCCACCGCACGCAGCAGCAGCGGCATTAGCACGACCAGCTCGGCTGCGGTGGCCGCTGCCGCTGCCGCTGCCGCTGCAAGTAGGCGGCGGCGGAGTAGTAGTTTAAGCAGCCGTTAACTGGCAACCACGGCGCCGAGTAAAAGGAATAGTGAGTAGGTGGCGTTGGGTGGCGTGCGTTATGGTGCGGCCGCGGGCGTCCGGTACCAGTACCACACCGCGGCACCACGCCAAGCGTCCAAGCGAGCGGCCGCCTCGCTAGCCGGCTAGCCGCTACGCACTGGCCTAGTTTTCGTGTCGCGCGAGGGCCGCGTGGGACGTTTTGCCTTGACGTTGGCGCGAACCAACCGGATGTGCGTTGGTCGCCCGGCGGCCCGGGGCAGGGCAGGTCGGGAGGAATTCAGCCGAGGGATCGGGTCGGGTGGCCGTAGCGCGGACCGGCGTCTACACGTGAATTCTAGGCGAAACGCTTGGCTTTTGGGAGGTCAGGTCAGCGGGGGGAGTAGACGGAATGATGGCACAGAAAAGGGGAGTGCGTGGCTTTCCGGGTTGGGGATCCGCCGGCCGCCCGGCCCGGCCCTGCGTGATCGGAGCATTTCCGTTCAGATCAGGGCGGGAGCGAGCGGCACAGTTTGGTGGGGCGCTGGTGGGCGGCGCCGAGGCCGAGCGAGCCCATTGGGGGGTGGCTGTATGGGCGCGGCCGCGTGGGCGGGACGACGAGTTTTGCCAGTTTGCCTCCTCCCAAGGCCGCCGTCCGCCGCCCGGGACGCTGTTTCTGCGGTTGGTTGGCAGGTTGGGTCATGGCATTGGCACTTGGCAGTGGCAGCCCGGATCCGGCACGGCGAGGTGCCCGTTACGTGCGCCTACGGGCCAGAACGGACTCCATTCAAGGCCGTGCCTGCTCGTACAAACTACGGAGGCGCGTGTCGCCCATGAAGACGACTACGTCACTCACGCCACCTGCGTGCAGTCGTGCAGCGTCCCTATCGTCCTGGGCACCGTACCTGTACTGATGCACGCCGGTTGCGGTGGGTGAGCGACGGGAGTACGGCGCACGACCGGGGAACTGACTGCGGTTGATGAGAATTGAGAAACCAACTGTTGTCCTGCAGGCTCAACCCCGCCACCATGCAGTCGTGCAAAATCCCTATCGTCCTGGACTCTGGGCACCGTACCTGTTTTACGCCGTTTACATGGTGGCATTAAATGTAGGTAAAAAAAATAATTAATTACGGTTTAGTTAGAAACCGGATGAATCTGACTGTTGGTTGATGAGATATTTACCAAATAAACTGTTGTCTTATTCTGCAGGATTGAAATTTTTTTCAATCTAAACAAGGCCCAAATTGTTCTTTTGGCCAAGTCAAATAGGCGATTTGGAGCACTGTAGCACGCCTGTTGTGCTCCTTTTTAGCAATGCGTCTTGCAGTTGGTGTGCCTTTTTTATGGCAATGATTCGTTAAGAGTTCATGATCATAGACGTGCTTGCGGGTGCCAAATGGTGTCGCGTCATTGTCATATCTTTGTGAATTGTGACCGAGGTTCCGCGAGCAAAGATAAAATAAGATCAAATGCAGAGGTCTCTCTGTCAAAGTTTGACGCCTTGACAGTAAAGGTCCTTAATTATAAGTGCCAAAGAAAAGAGCCGAAAATGAAAAGAAGCGCGTGGATACAAACCGCTATTGCCACA